CTACTCACCGAGTGCACCCTGGTGACTCGGCGAGTTCTCATATGTCCTTTAACCCTTTGTCTTGCTTAACACGCCGAGTCCCTCCCTATACTCGATGAGCCATACCAGCCATGAATCGCGGGGCCATCCCCGACTCAACTCACCGAGTCTCAAGAACAACTCGGCGAGTACCATCTTGAACACCAGCCCTCTAATTCCCTCCTGACTCACTGAGTCATCCCCCAACCAGGCGAGTCTACTCGCTGAACAATTTACATGAAACCCTAACCCTACTCGCCGAGTCTCAAGAACAACTCGGCGAGTTTATGGCATGCACAAACTCTATTGACCTCCAGAGGTCAGATCTGTTTCCCCAAACCATAGATCTGGCCTCCCTAAAATGGCAACCTAAAATGGCCTCCTGAGGTTAGATCTGTCACGTAAAGTTCGAAACTTGATGCTTGTATAACCACAACAAGGCATCAAAAGGAGATTTGGTCCCAAAAATGGCAACCTAAGTCCAATAACCCCAAACTAACTCATAAAGCTCCAAGGGTCATGGTCTCTGGACCTCTTTGAGTCCAGATCCAAGGCACAAACTCGAAGAGGGACCATTTGCTCCACATAATCACTCTCCAAAGGGGCTAGAAAACCCTAGCTCTAAAGATCAACACTAAAACTGAAGGAGGCTCGAACTAATACCTCAAAATGAAGTCTCTGAACCCTGGATCTGCTTCAATCGCACCTCCTCCTTGCTCTTGTCACCCTCTTCTTGCTAAACCAAGGATACAAGGATCAAAAAGTGACTTCTTCTCTCTCACATCGATTTAGCTCTCTTAGGGTTCTCTCAAGGGACTGATAGCCGCAATGGGAGGCTATAAGTGCCCTTAAATAGGCTCCAAACCTAGGGAATTAGGATTTCATTAAACAACGTGGACTCGCCGAGTCCCCTAATGGACTCGCCGAGTCCGGACGCGAACCCGGATGAACATCCGCGACTCTACTCGGCGAGTCTTGGCTATAACTCGCCGAGTTCCTCCACAAATTCCAAAATAAATAAATAAATAATATACCTGGAAATTCAGGATGTTACATGTACACTGAAATATAAAATTGAATAGACTTAAGAAAAAAAACACTATTAAAACAGTCAATCTTGAAAATAGTATAGTTATGAAAAATTATAAAGTAAGACAAAATTTATAAGATATTAAGAGCTTTGTAAGTACAATTAGTAAAAGCGTTACGATTAAAAAAGATCATTAAGATTAGTAAAAATGAAATATATAAACTAAATTATCACAATACAATGAAATATCATTATTTGATATTTCATATAATTGAAAGATGTACAAAATTACATTGATGATATACTAACATTATTCAAAGTTCAACCAAGACCAATGCAAAGTTATTGCGAACACCAAATAAATAAGAACAAATATAAAAGTTAGCATTTTTATTCAAAATCAATTTAAAATAAACCAATCATGATTTAGAAAAGAATTTTCGTTGATGATATACTAAAATTAAATCCATATAACATTTAACATTCCATAAATTATACTTTATAACTTTATTTGAATAAATAAAACAGTTGTCAATATTTAATGCAATGGAAAAAAATAGTATATCGGTTGTCAATATAGGCTTAAATTATGTAACATTATGATAGACGGAACGTTTAATTAGAATACTTTTGCTTATATAACAATATCATAACGATATGTGACAAGGGATGTCATTTAACAAATGAAACAAAAGATATTGTATACAAAGAGGTTCTTCAACGATTATAGATATTTATCAGTTTCAATATATCTTCTACACATTTCAATAATACCAATAACCACAATTTTTTTAATTATTGTGCAATATCTGAAGACATTTATATGTTTTTATGGCTAGTTTTCCAAACACCTTTTTACTACTCTTGTATCTTCTGTTGTTTCATTTTTTGAAGGAAGGTGCTAGGGTTTATTTATAAACATTATCTTTATGTGTTTTTGATAAATATCATGTTGTAAAACTTTTTCATATAAAATGTAACAGTAAGCTCTTAAACAGACCCCATCAATTTGCTTTAGTCAGCACATTGACTCTGTCAACTGTTTGTTTTTTTAGTGAATTGAAATGCCATAGAGTTTGTTAGATTAGTCATTAGCTAATAAACAACAAAAAGAAAAGATTGCTAATATAAAAAGGGACTAAATTTATGTGATATTACCGAATTGCATGAAACACTTTTAATTTTTTAGATCATGAAAGACTTGCGCAAAGACGAGTACAAAGAGTTTGAGAAGTTGATCCAAGAGGACTTGAAGGAGGTAGACAATCGGCTAGAAGAAGAAGAGGTTTGTATCATTATTCATTTATGCACATAAACTTAAATTATGCTTCTTTAAATACTTATTTTTTTTTAATTTCATTTAGTGTGACGCTGCTGAGATGATCGAAGAAGCCGAAACCGCAGAGCAATGGTAAGTAGCATTTTCCCTGACAGACATACTGTATGCATCATACATAATATGCTTGATACATACATTATGTCTGTATGTGCCTGATGCATATTATGCATCAGGCACAATGTGTAGTACTTGTGTCTGATGTATAACTTGTCTGACAAGTTATTCATCAGGCACAATGTGCTTGATACATATTGTATGTGTCTGTTGCATATTGTATGTATCACACACAGTGTATCATTTGTTTCTGATATGTTCAGACACAAAATTGGGGGATTATGTGGTTTTTGACTTGAGATTGAAATTGAACTTATTGCAGGAGTTGTAGGGAGAGAGTGGAATTATTGAAGAGAAAAAAATTTGAGCTTAAGGCCACAAGGTCAGACAAGCAAAAGCAAATTAAAGCTTCACAAGTGGTTGAGAAAGAAAGTAGTGTTGATGAGTCATCGAGTGACGTGGACAGTCATGATGATGTGGACTAGAGAGCTAAACATTTGTAGACACAGTTTCACTTGGTGGTTGGTAGCATTCTCCACACTATTTGCCTTTATGTTTTTTTCTGATAATTCACTTGCATATGCTCAAATTGACCTTTTTTTGTTGTAGATTAAAGTTTTTGACCAATCCTTCAAGTCAATGAGTAAGAGATACTGGTACTTCTTGTTTAGACATCACATATTTTCAAGTTCATCATCATCATCCTTGTAATCCAACCTCCTTATTAGTTACAATTTTACCCTTATGGTGTTAGTATACTTATATCTTTGCATTAGAGGTGTCAAACCATAAAAAGGTTGTAGCATTTTGAAACACCTAACTTTTTAACTATATATTGAACAAAAAATGGTCATACGATAAAAGAAGGCCTCTGCTTTTGCCATGTAAAAAGGGGATTTTTGGCATTGTGAGAAGTTGGGGGTATTTTAGTCGTCTACTTATGTTAGATTTGGTGTAAATTGTATCAGTTGCATGTTTTCATTGACACTGCCGAATAAAGACATATAAAATTAAGGGATTAATGACAAAACTACCATCCCAAATGATCATTTATATACATCTAACCAAATTTTAACACATTTTCGAAAATGACCTTATAACTCTAAATAATAGAAGGTTTTATAACCAACTAATAACAACTCTAAATGGCTATTATATCTGAAATTAATAATAAACAAAAAAAACACGATTCAACTTGGAAATTAAAGCCGCATGTAAGGAAAGTGATGCAAAAACCACATAGCATAGCCCAAATGCAACACATTTCTGGAAAGGTTGCATGAAAACAACATGATCGAATGCAATAGAAGGGTTTAGGAGCATCATTAACATTAATATTCCTTGTATTTAGTCTTTGAATATGTGTTTGTGAAACAAGATAAAAAAAAGAAGGCAACACAAACACCTTCAAACCAAGTTTTTCAGTGAATCTCAAACAAACATCAACCTCAAAATCATTCCATTCCACCAAACTTTTTCTTAAAAAGAATGCAACTATCGTTCCAATGTTCTTCCTTGCCTACCTACCTACTAAACGCAATAGAAGCCACAAATAAATCTACCGTTTGATTATAAGGGAGTTTGATTTATGGTCCTTATCCATCCCAACATATTATTGGTGAGAATGGCAGCATCTTCACACAAACTAGAAAATTTTGGTTGCATGACAGCATGCAGACATATGAGTTATCAATCTTTTAATGCACACATTTCCTTTTTGATGGTTAAATCGACAAAAAAAAAATCGTTTAAATAGTCAATTTTCATGTCTTATAGAATTGAAAGTTTTATGTAGTAATTAAAAAAATTATAATAACCAGTGTTATCTTTCTTTTTAGATCTCATCCGCTGAAAAGGATTATGAAGCAAATCCTCACGAGCTGTCATCAAGATCCGGAGAACTTGCATCATAATCAATACCAATAACAAGACATTAAAATCATCATGCCTCTTAGAATTTGTAGGACTAATAAAATCTTGATCATGTCTCTCAGAATCATCAATAAAATCACATAATTCAAAAGGGGCAGGTGAGGGCCTATGATCACTATTCACTTCTCCAATAGACGAAGTATCATCTAAGATTATACCCGTTAGATTAGTTTCAATGCAAACACGGTTAGTAAAAAGGTTCTCTTCCAAATCATCATCCATATACACAATGCTATCGTATTTTATTGACAATATTTTGGAAATTTACTTTGCTCCAAGTTCTCAAAGGAACTCCTTCAATGTCAATCCAAACGAGGGGTTCCTTAATAATGAAATCTTTGGTACAAGGGTTCAACTCCTTAAACCATGAGGAGACCACTTTGTGTTGAGTAAAATTATGACTGGCCTTATCGAAATTAATCTTGATCTGAGCTTTAGGAGAGGATGAGCGACAACAAGGTGAGGAACAGAGACGTGATGTAGAGGTATTTGATACTTGATGTTTGGCAAAAAAAAAAAAAAAAAAAAAGAAGACAAACCACTCGACCGTTATTTTATTTTTAATACTTGATGTTTAAATTAAAGTTTTTTACAATAATGTTAATCCATGAAAAGAAGTGTTGACTTGGCAGAAGCAGTAGAAGAAAAATAGATCTTAAGATATTGTTTGTATTTTAAAAGGTAAAACACAAAACCGTCTGCATCAGCGGACCACATCTGCAGAAAAAGAGGTGGATCAAACGTCTGCATTCTGCAAGAAAAAGACTTTTTTTTAAAGTCTGCAGGCTGCTAAAAGAATTGAAGTATATAAAAAGTAATTTCTTTAAGCTTAAAGGATTCAATCTGATCTAATTTTCTAACGTAATTTGTAAAATTTAATAATGATATCCTAACTCAAGGACCCTTTTGATTTAACCATAACTTATAATCTCATCGTCTATCGAGTTGAGTTTGCAGTCTTCAATATCCATCCCAACATATTATCAGTGAGAATGACAGCATCTAGACATAGACTAAGAAACATTGGTTGCAACACATCGCTCTTTGATGCAGACAGCTGAGATATCAACCGTTGAATGCGCTCAAACAATGCACGCATATCCTCCAACCATGTAACTATGGGATGAGTCTCTAATCCCCTCTGCATAATTTTATATCTTCGCCTTAACGATGTCATCATGCGACAATTCTCTAGTTCTACAATTACCCTTCGCTGAAGCATTGCCATCATTTTCCTAAGATTACATTGCAATTGCCACGCCCAGAGCATCATCCAGACTTGTGGTTTGCCATGTTCATCCATATGAGCCTTGTCAGTCTCACTATCTGTATTTGCTTTACACTCCTTTACCAATATCCTCAGGTGTCTCACAAATACCTGTGCTAATGCTATATCCCCCATAACTATAATCTCCTGCAAGTCATAATACATTTCAAGTTTTTGTAATGTTACAATGTTATAAACTAGGAAAAATATATGGCATTGTGTAAATACCTCACGTGAGACCATTGGGAAGATGGAACTTGGAGAATTATCATCGTAGTTTTTTATTTCAGTACACGTGGTTACTTTTTCCAAGTATACACTTTGTTGAATACTTGGTACAAACTTTACTATCTTTGCATTCGCCAACACACAAGTTTTATATGGGCTTACTTCCATGCCTGAAGAAAAACGCTGCACAAAATATAACAAAACCAAATTACATATATGCATGTTTATACTTTTTTGTTTTTTTACGTGCTTTTTAGATTTTTTATGTGCAATTGGCCTAGGTGGTGTTGGTTTTGAAAAAAATTGGTTCTCAAGTTCTCACATACCGCTGATTTACTCATCCTCCGTTTGACATTCCTAAATCTGGGCTGCACCTGCACAGTCAAGAAACCAGACACAACTTGAAATTAAACACAATAAATAATAGTATGTAATGTCACATATAATAAAAACAGTTTCCTAAATATGTCTGTTTTTTTTTTCAGAATTCTGAATGAACATGTAGTTATGGAGGGTTATTTCATCGTGAAGTAGAGCAACCAAATGCAACAACTCCTGGTATACCTCTATTGAAAAAAGACGCTGCAGAAAATAAAACAAAAAGAATAGTTATGGAAGGCTACATCATCTTCAAGTAGAGGCTAGCCAAAACGGAAGAATACCTTGTTTTGTGAAAGAAAAATAAAAGTGTGTTTGCTATTGTTAAGATTAAAAGATGAAAGAAGCAAATCCAATACCTGGAGAATCTGCAAGTTAAGTGTAAGAAGCTTGACACTATGGAGCTGTTGAAGCAGAGAAACTATTTTATGAGCATCTGCATTCCCTGCATCATAGAAGTAGAGACGAACCTTCTCCAAGTACCAGACTGAGTGAAGAAACTTGTATTTTTTTATTGCGGTTAGACAGAACATTAGAAATAAATTTGGAGAGGTGGGGCCGATCATTGAGATTTTCAAAATTCAAGTCAGGCATTGAAGTCCAGATAAACTTCCATCTAGACGACAAAACACAGGTTCTGATAGCATCTTTGATGCTCATAGAAGAAAAGATTTCAAGGATAAGATCATCCGTCAGGCTGCTTAGTCTATCATCGCCTCCTTCTACGTCCGTTGATTTTTTTCTTTTTTCTTACAGATTCTTCCACCAGATCATTGTTATGCATTATTCCCTGCAATGCAACACATACAAAACAAACAAACCAAATTCTTATAATTCGCCAGGTGAATTCTAGAATTTCCAAAGGAATCAATATCTTAAACTTAATTTAATTTAATTCATAAATAAGAATATAAACAATTAATCCATAACTTGGATATCCTTTGTTGTCAACTTCAGTGGATAACAGTAAAAAGTAAAAACAGAAAACCAGTTCAAATTATCCCAAATCTACATAACGTCATTATAAGGCCGGCGCCAAAGTGTTCGTAGTTAAAATCCACTAACCAACAAGAAAATTTTCATAAGCAACCATGAGCGTTGCTTTTAATTGGTCAAAACCTGGAACGAAAATGGGAATGGAAAAAAAATCTTAGGTAACGTTTTCCAACAATTACATAACGAATTCATTCTTCACATCGCTATATAAAATTAGCAATTAGGTATCTAACAAAGAAATCAATGTTCCAGCAATTCAAAAAATTAGGTTAATAGTGTAGCCATAAACTTGTGCAATCAAATTCACAATCACAATTCATAAAGTTAAATGAAAAAAAAAACTAGGTTAGAACTTTTTATACTCACAGGAGAATGAGATTGCAAAAAAAAAAATCGAGAGCAACGATGAAGGGGAAGACGGCCTGCCTTGTGTCGTATGTGGATACCTTTTAAGTTTTAATCTTTTAAACTTTAAAATATCATATTTGCTCAGTTTGATTTTTTAATATCATATTTATCCTTAATAAACCTTCAAAATATCATATTTGCCCAAATTCATTTTTATAATGTTTTTAATATTTTATAATTATTTTTTATAACTTAAAATTACTATAATAATTAAAAAATTTAACGATATTATCCTTACGTCTGCGATAATGGAATGCGAACTTCTAAATTGTTGGAATGTTGTCCTCTTGATAAACAAAAATATTCATCTCCAATCCTCTCTATGGAATGTATATTTTGACTTTTTAGTTTTTTTTATTGATTATGTTGTAGATGAAGGATATTTTAAATATTACCATTGATATTTTGATGTTTAAAAAGTACATAAACGATATTTTGATATTTAAGAAGGGATATATGATATTTTGAAATTTTATGAATGTTAAATATGATATTTAGAAATTTTATTAAGGGTAAATATGATATTTAGAAATTAAGTTGGGTAAATATGAAATTCTCCCTTATTAAAAAGAAACCTTATAACATGAACGTTGATTGTATTTTAATCCTATATTTTCTACCCTTAGATAAAATTACTGACATCATCTTCCCCAAATGGAATTTATTTGATTCCAATAAAAGCTTTTCAATTGTCAAACAAAATTAACTTACATCCATTAAAATGGAATGTATATAATTCAAATAAAATCTTCCCATATTTTAAATCTTCAATTTCCGGTTGTAAAGATTTTAATATGGTCAACTTTAAAAACATATAAGTAACAGACCATTTCAATTAAGACATTAATATCAACCATTAATATAAATTTTTTTATATTAGTAAACCATTAATATAAAATCCATTTTTATTAGGAAACCATTAATACCAAAAAATCAAATTCAAATTAGCATATACATATATGATTCATTATTGAATCCGTGGCTCACACCTACTTTCAATCGTTGTTTTTCTTCAAACCTTCTCCTACAACATCATTCTTATTGTTTATAACTTCCATCATCATTCTCTGTTTCAAACATTCGTTGTTTTGCATTAGAAGGTCGGTACATTTTTTGGTTTTTTATATATTTTTCGATTATTTTTTGTTCCTATATAAAATGTATGTATTCATATATTTCGATTTTCTTTGTCACAAATTACATGAAATCGGCTAACTACTTTTCTGAAACTTTTCAAATAAACAGGAAAAGATGTTATGTACATTTAACAAAATAGAAATTAACTATCTTTGGAGTTGACACTAATTAGGAAAATGTTATTATTATATATATTAAAGATGATTATGATTTTTTTTAAATTATTATATCATAAGAATCCGGTTAATTTTGGTATGATTTTAAAATATTTTGGCATGATTAAGTTGTATAGGAAATAATATATAATCTATTTATGCATCCTTTAAAATTAAGTATGGAAACAATTTTGTTGACAGCTATAATAGCTTTCATACCTCTTTATGAATCATACCTCTTTATAGTTAAATACATTATATACGTTCCTTTTATTTCATATAAAAGTTCTTTCTAATTCTAATTGTTTTCTCTTTCATTTTACACCCATGACACAAAAAAATCGTGATGAGATCATCTTTGATAAGGTTGCTAACATTGATGCATCCAAAGAAACCTGAAACATTTGTGTTCAAGTACTCTTGCTTTGGAAGCAACCTTAAAAAACAACACAAACATGTTCAACAGCTTGGACTTGATTTTAATTGACGAGTAGGTACAAATTTTTCTTTTTATTATTATGTTGCTTTTAATTTATAAAAAATTAAACTCAACCAATTTTTTTCCCCTTACATGGCACTAAAATACAAGCAACAATAAAAAAAAATTCATTAATTTGAAGGATTTGTAAGGGAAATTAGTAGTTTTGCTATGGCCAGAATTGAAGATTACATGTTGGTTGATCATAAACATAAGAATAATTTCTACAAAACAACCCAAGTTCGTGTATCAAATGATTTTGTTGTTATGGTGGATCCTTATAATTTTGTGACTTTCCAAGATTTGATAGTCGGGAATCTCGACACTCGTGTTGCATGTGGTAAGATTTTATTTTAACATTTTACCTTATTCACACGTGAATATTTATTGTATTACACATCTATAATACAACAACCATTTTTTTGTTCAAGATTTTCTTGGCCAGGTTGTGTCGACTAATCTCATGAAAGTGATTATTGAAAATGCAAGGGAGAAACGGTTGATGAACCTGGTTGATCAGGATCTAAGTTAAATATATGTGTTTAAAATATTTTATTTTCTAAAGTATTTTTCTACTTGATACTATAAAACATGTCATTTGCATGAAAATGACATATTCATCTACACTTCAATATACATGTTTATTTTAGCATTACTTAAAACATTTCGAATCCACTAATTATAGAATTCACCTTTTATCATAATGTCATAAAGGAAATAATTCATTATTATCAGAGGGTCCATTTATGATCTTCTTACTAACAAATTGGTCCAATATGGTTAGAGATCTTTCACACATTTTTTTTATCACATGTCTTCATACTTTTAAGTTTTAATCTTTCATCTCTGAAATTTTATTTTTTTAGTTACATACGTTCATTGAAATTATTATTTTTTGTTTAACATTCCAACCTACTTTGTTTTATCTTTATATAGTAACAATAAAATTTATAAATTTAGACAACATCATGCATATTTCAAAATTTGTCATAGTATTATACTTTACAAAATACAATTCCCTCCAAAATATTTTTCGTCGGTAATTTCATCCATAATTTCACCCAATTTAAATTTGTATTTTCTTTATATATATATATATATATATATATATATATATATATATATATATATATATATATATATATATATATATATATAAATTATCCAATTTTTTCCCTCCAAAAGTATAACAAACATTTATGTCTTAGATAATGTTGCCCCATTATAATTATTAATTTCCAAAATATATCAGTTTAATGAGGAATTTAATTTAATGAAGGAAGTAAATGTTAATTTAAACAAGATATATATTCCATAATTATTACAAGAGTTTATTAAAAAAATATATCAAGATGTAAACATTAACAATTTTTAAAATGAAATTTCAGAATACATACAAATTATGGTGTTGTACACTGAAATATAAAATTGAATAGACTTAAGAAAAAAAAAACTATTAAAACAATCAATCTTGAAAATAGTATAGTTATGAAAAATTATAAAGTAAGATAAAAATTATAAGATATTAAGAGTTTTGTAAGTACAATTAGTAAAAGCGTTACGATTAAAAAAGATCATTAAGATTAGTAAAAATGAAATATATAAACTAAATTATCACAATAACAATGAAATATCATTATTTAATATTTCATATAATTGAAAGATGTACAAAATTACATTGATGATATACTAAAATTATTCAAAGTTCCACCAAGACCAATGTAAAGTTATTGCGAACACCAAATAAATAAGAACAAATATAAAAGTTAGCATTTTTATTCAAAATCAATTTAAAATAAACCAATTATGATTTAGAAAAGAATTTCCGTTGATGATATACTAAAATTAAATCAATATAACATTTTAACATTCCATAAATTATACTTTATAACTTTATTTGAATAAATAAAATAGTTGTCAATATTTAATGCAATGGAAAAAAACAGTATATTGGTTGTCAATATAGGCTTAAATTATGTAACATTATGATAGACGGAACGTTTAATTAGAATACTTATGCTTATATAGCCATATCATAATGATATGTGACAAGGGATGTCATTTAACAAATGAAACAAAAGATATTGTGTACAAAGAGGTTCTTCAACGATTATAGATATTTATCAATTTCAATATATCTTCTACACATTTCAATAATACCAATAACCACAATTTTTTTAATTATTGTGCAATATCTGAAGACATTTATATATTTTTATGTGTTCCCCGCATTTAGTGCGGGTTATAATCTAGTTATTTTTATTACTAAGCATGGCTCATTTTGAGCCTTTGGATCTCTTCAACTTTTGATCTCAACCGCATAAATTCCGTATTTTACATTATTTTTACCGTTTATTTGCTTCCTTCGCTTCTTCTTCCCCACGTTCGGCTAACCCCCATCTCCTTCAACTACTCACCTTCCGTTTTATTGGCGATCCATGACAACTCGTCGTCGCCCCACGGTCTCAACCATCACCGGTTGTCCCTTTCAACAAACATTTAATCTGAAACGACTCAAAAATACGACCCAAAAATTTCGTTTTTCAATATAACCAAAACCATAATCTGAATGTCATATCATAAAACCATACGTGATGTATCCCAAACATAATAAAAACACTGTACGGAAAACTATATCATACTATGTCAAATCAAAACAAACTAAATCAATTCCCGGGATAAAAGCTAAAGCTGTGGTGTGTGCGATGCTATCACCCCGAGCTCTTCCCTTTGCTTGCGGAGGTACCTGAAACCAAAACTGAAACTGTAAGCACGAAGCTTAGTGAGCTCCCCCAAACTACCACATACCATACAACATATAAATAACGCACATACTGGGCCTTGCCCGCTGCATCAGACCGAAGTCTGGAACTAGCTGCATCGGACCGAAGTCCGGGACTGACTGGGACCTTGTCCCCTGCATCGAACCAGAGTCCAAAACTATCTGCATCGGATTGAAATCCGGAACTAACTGCATCGGACCGAAGTCCGGAACTGACTGCGTTGGACCGAAGTCCGGAACTAACCGATCATGGCATAGCATAACACATAACACTATCATAATCACATATACTGTACACTGCATCGGAACAGAGTCCGGAACACATAACACAAACATGCTTGTATCACAAAGACATCAAGCACCCTAACTACGGGAAGGAAACTCACTTCGTAAACTGGCTGCTGAGTGTAAGACTCTGGAATCTAACTGCTGCTGCTCCGGTATCTCCCCGGCTACAAGTCCATAAACACACTCAATCAAATACTAAACATTGCACTTGGGTAAAATGACTCTTTTACCCTTGGTCACAGTCAACTCTCATTTGACCTGACTCGCCGAGTTGGGCCGCCAACTCGCCGAGTCTCTACCCTCACACCTCAACCCTACTCGCTGCTACTCGTCGAGTATGGCATCGACTCGACGAGTACCCTCTCGATCCAAGAACTCAGACAATCTTCATCCGACTCGCCGAGTCATATGAACAACTCGACGAGTTGTTCTTGAACTTAAGAAGATTGCCTTGGACTCGCCGAGTTGTATGAACAACTCGCCGAGTCCCTCCATTACTGAGTCTACCCTCAACTCGCTGAGTCCACCCTACTACTCACTGGTCCCACACGACAGACACCGCTCAAAAGGAAGGAATCGGGGACTCACGACTTGACTCGTCGAGTCGTTCTTCCGACTCACCGAGTCACCGCCATGCAACTATTCTACACTCGTTTCTGCTCGAATCCAAAACATACAAATGATAGATCTGAGTCCAATAAGCTGGTTTACCACGTAAAGTTTCCAACTTTACGTGCACAAACACATGAACAAGGGAAAAAAGGCTAAAAGATGCCTAAAGGAGGTAGATCTAGGGCTAATATGCAAAATAGCTCCAAAAAGGCAATAGATCTGGGCTCTACAACTCCCAAATATACAGATCTAAAGATATCTCGGCATAAGAAGGCTTCCATATCAACACAAAGCTTGAGAAAGGCATCAACTAGATCTAAAAAGGGCTTTTAAGCATAAAAAGGGAAAGAAACTAGAAGAATACCTCAAAGAGCTCTTGCTTTCCCTTGAATCTCTGCTCTACAATCCTTCTTCTTGCTCCTTTCTTCTTCTCCTTCTTCAAACCTTCACAAATGCACACAAAAATCACTTACAAACACTCAAGGATGAATTAGGGTTTTTCTCACAGCTTCTGAGGGTGAAGGAGGCGAGAATGAGGGCCATAAGGTGGCTTAAATAGTGGGCAACCCGGGGATTTAGGGTTTCACCCAGACGGACAGACTCGCCGAGTCC